CCCCTCCCCTCCCCCCTCTCTCTCTCTCTCTCTCTCTCTATATATATATATATATATATAGCCGAGAGTTCATTTGAGAAATTGTAAGTATTTGAAAAGTAGAGAAGTGATCCTAACTCTTTATCTGATTTGTGGCTTTGACTTTGAATCATTGGATAATTCCTCACATGTTATGCCGAAGATAGAGAGGTGGTTTCGTAACATTTACAAATAGGCGGCAAAACAAGTGCATATGCGAACCCGTTTCATTGACATAGGAACCCATGTAATTCGCATATGAACTATTTAATTGATTCACATATGAACAAATTAATTTATTTACATACGAACCCGTTTAATTGATTTATATATATAAACACACACGTCTTCTTCAAAATTAATATTTATCATGAATCACACATTCAAGATGAATATAAACGTGTTATTTATCACAAATCACACATCTATAATGAACATGTTACAACATTCAGATGAATATATCACATGTGGCACCGTTAACAATTCCCCTTTTTCTAACTAAGATAAGATTACTAACGTAACCTCATCATATATACATGTACATGACTCAGCTAATTAAACGATATAGAGCAATGGAAGTGGAAGTGGAAGATGTATTTAATTAGTTAATGGACACATCACAATCATTAATATCAACCACATCCATGTCCGTATCTCACTCTTGTCGTTATTTATTCATCCTTCCCTAGCTTCTGGCCTGTAATCAACGCATGCATTCTCCTTCTTGATGCTATTCCTATCACAATATTCTCTTCATTTTGACCTTAATTAATCCCAATCACCATATATATACATATATATGTCATTCTATATATAGTATATCTATATGCTGTCATCGTGTATATATAGAGAGATAGAGAGGGGTTGGTTATTATACAACCCTTGACATTTGTGCAACCAATATAACTCAATCTCAACCGTACATTTCATTTGATTAATATATGATTTCATAGAAGTTTTGATTGTTTCATAATATAAAGTATTGATCATAATTAATGAACCATATTCATCTTCCATAAATATTTAAATTAATCATAATAAATGAACTCTCATCATTTTCATAAATATCTCAATGTATTGAGTTGCATTGGTTATACAAATACGACGGGTTATATTTGAAACAAATATATATATATATATATATATATATATATTAGTTTGTACATATATGGGGCATCCTGAAACAGTCTATACTGACAAATGGCATAGTGGATCCAGCGATGGTTTAGCTAAGCTCCAGATATCCACCTCGGTGTTATATGATGCTTCTTCGTTTAGCCTATCCGTCATCCTATAACCACATAGATCTTGCTCATCATTGTGTTCACCATAGCAAGAGAACAAATGGTGCTTGGATGACTCCATTTGGCCATTCAGCTGTGAAGCTACAAACTTATCTAGATCGACCCAGTTACTGATACACTGCTCATGTTCATCCACCATTGTGTTCCTTGGATATTCCGCTTGATCGCTTTCTGGACACGGACTATCGAGCCTAGGGAGGTGGAGGAACATATTGTCGACATTCGACATGGGGTTCACGAACTGCTGCATAGAATTACTATTGTGGGTGAAAGTTTCACTACTTTCTTGCTTGCAAGACCTACTGCTATCCATGTATGCAAGTAATTGGTCTAGAATGATGCTGCCATCGTTGTTTAAGGATTCCGACTGTGCTCCGGTGGTGTCAGTGGTGGCAGATAATGATCGCTGGGTGCTCTCCAGGGATTTGTGGTAATTTTTCTTCTTGAAAACACGGCATACCACCCACCCTTCTTCATGTCCACAATCGCAAAAGTTGGAAACCTGAATCATAATTAAGTATATAATAATTAATGCTAGGTTGACTGCTAAACTCTTTCTGGTAATACTTCATGATCAAACCCTATCTTTAATTACTGATCTATCAACACTCATGATAATTAGTCGGTCCAACTAACAATGACAGAATCCATCCCTACCACCACCAACTAACGGTTATGAGTGAATTGAACGATATATACATATACATACACACACACACACACACACACACACATATATATATATATATATATATACACTTACCGTAGAATCTTGGGTGGGAATGATATGAAGGTCATCAAGCCTGTATTCATGCATAATCCAATCAGATTTGAGGCCATGAGGTGCTCTTCCTTTGTAAAATACCAGCGTCTTCCTCATTCCGATTCTCTTAAGGCTACTGTATACCACCTTATCCCGGCCGGTGGCTTTCCAGAAACCGGCAGCAGTCGCACGATTTGTCCGGGTCCCAGTTGGATATTTCTTGTCTTTGTGGCTAAAGAAGTACCAATCGTTTTGCGGGGTCGACCCTATATTACATTTCTCTACAAAAACCAAAGTCAAGTTGATCACATACACGATTTAATTCTGATCCGTATACAAATCAAACGTACATACCTTGGATGTCCCAGGGTTCGAGCTTATTAAGATCAACTTCTCGAATAACATCAAGATCGATCTTCTCGTAAGCAATTTTCTTCCTCAAGTAGTAGTGAAGAAGCTCTTCTTCGGTGGGATGGAACCGAAAACCTGGAGGGACTTTCGACCGACCATTCACCTTCATGGATATGTCTTCTTTCAACGACATAGATCATAGAGATTAGACTATAGAATCTTGCTTTGTAGTTGATGATGGAGCTGAATTAAACTTGGGTGTAATGAGTTGAATATATATATCCCAAAAAGGAAGTGATGAAAAGTTATGGGAAAGTGGTGATGGGATAATGGCATGGCAACCACCCGTTTGGACCAACTATTCTTCACTTACCAGAAAACCAAGTTAAAAGCCTACATAAACACAAGGGAATTAAGGTCGAAAACAACAAACCACCTAATAAGTAAACAACATCAACTCAACTCTAAGGGTCTATACCTAATCGAGTTGTAAAATCTTTAAACCGTAGGTACTGGGTTGGATTGAGATTTTTCAAACCATAAACATTACGTTGGATTGTTCAAATGTACCCAATCTGTTTTGGAACCCCCCCCCCCCCCGCGACAACAACAACACATAAAAATTAAAGTTCAAAAAGAAAACATAAATGTGTTTGCGTTGGGAATGTGATGCATCCATCTTGACTACGACCTTCGACCTTAAAACATCTCATCGATCTTCTTAATTATTGATTAAAGTATGAGTGTGTGTAGTTAGAAGATATAATTAGTTTTGAAATTGAAGAAGCTTCCCTCTTTCATGATTCCAGTAACAACAACTATGATCGATACAATGGCGGCAGATTATCACCAAACTTTACCCCTTTTTACCACTGATTTATCTCCTTCACATATTATATATTACTCTATCGTCGTTATCGCATGTTTATCGGGTAAGCATTTTCGGCTATAAAAATGGATTGTTGGTAAGCGTTTTTTATTTAGTAAACGTTTATCAGGTGAGTATCTTCTTCCTCATTTATCGGGTAAGATTCGTGGTCCATGTTATACCCATTTCTAGGTATATCAAATGACAGTCGTTAAGTGCTTGCTTACCCGATAAACGTTTTGATTAATATATTTTCTTTATCATATAATAGATATTAGAGATAGAATTGTAAACATGTGTAATTATTGCATTTCTAAAAAGACATTGTTAGCAACTAATTTATTTCTTTCATAATTAAAGATAAATCTGGAAAATAATTAAGTATATTTTTTAAAATGAATAAATATATGATTTGATATGTTGTATTGTTAGTCAAACCTTTGATGTAGATATTTGTTTAATTATTGCCTTTTAGTTTACCTGCATCAATCAAGTTTAAGTTTACTTAAATTAAAACGTGATAATATATAATATATATATATATAGGGCCACGTTGAAATCAAAACCGTGTATTTCTAAAAAACCGTGTAAATCAATTTCGACCAATAGAAAAATTCTATTTTTTTCTAATTAAATTTAATCAATAAGGGTATTTCGGTTATTTATAATATTTTCTATTAAATATAGAAGTTAATAATAAATCTTAATTAAGGAAACGAAATAAAGGAAATTGTATAAATGGTAACATTTAAATATTTAATTATATTATAATATTAAAANTGGTAATTTTAAATTAAAATCTTAATGCAAGGATATTTTTGTTCTTTAAAATACCAAAAATATCCTTGCATTAATATTTTAATTCAAAATTGCCAAAATTATAAATTTCCTAATTTATCTATTGATTTGTGGCTAATATTGGTTCTCACAGTTACCACAAACTAATTAGTTCTCATTTGATTATATATATATATATATATATATAGCCACGTTGAAATCAAAACCGTGTATTTCTAAGAAACCGTGTAAACCAATTTCGACCAATAGAAAATTTTCATTTTTTTCTAATTAAATTTAATCAATAAAAGTATTTCGGTCATTTACAATATTTTCTATTAAATATGAAAGTTATTAATAAATCTTAATTAAGGACACGTATTAAAGGAAATTGTATAAATGGTAACATTTAAATATTTAATTATATTATAATATTAAAATTTTGAATTTAATATATTGTTATGAGATTGAATTGCATTATGGAATGAAATCGTAAATTATGGTTCAAATTAAAAAAATAATGTTAATGAAACAGATTTCATGAAGATGAAACTGGTTCATGTTGTAATTGATTCATGAGTAATATGAAATCGCTTCATGGTGAACCACGGTTTAGTGATGGTGTAGTTGATCCTTTTAGTAGAAAAAATGGAACATGAAACGGGTGCATAATTTATTTGGTTCGTCATGAAATAATTGCATGATGAAACGGGTACATGATGAATCTGCTTCGGGATCTTGAAGATTGTAATCTGCTCCATAATCTTGAAGATTGTAAGGAGTAAAGGAAAGAATGCATCAAATCATGAGTGAAATGAAAAAATTAATTTACATGAAACAGGTTTCATGAAGGTGAAACTGGGTCATGTTGTAATTGATTCATGAGTAATATGAAATCATTTCATGTTGAACCATGTTTCAGTGATGATGTAGTTGATCCGTTTAGTAGAAAAATGGAACATGAAACGGGTGCATAATTTATTTGGTTCGTCATGAAATAATTGCAAGATGAAACGGATATATGATAAATCTGCTTCGGGATCTTGAAGATTGTAATCTGCTCCAGAATCTTGAAGATTGTAAGAAGTAAAGGAAAGAATGCATCAAATCATGAGTGAAATAAAAAAAATTAATTTACATGAAACAGGTTTCATGAAGGTGAAACTGGTTCATGGTGTAACTGAACAATGAGTGGTGAACTACTTTCATGATGAAACCCGTTTCAATGATGATGTAGGTGATCCATTCAGTAGATGAAATAAAAAATGAAACGGGTGCATAATGTAGGTGGTTCATCATGAAATAATTGCAAGATGAAAAATAAATTAGTTTCATTAATAATAATAAATGTTAACGTAAAAATGTTAACGTAAAAATAATAAATTACTTTACAAAAAATAGATTAGTTTCATTAATAGTATGATATACATGATATGGTTTCTTTGAATAAATGAATATTTAATTTTACCCTTTTGCCCTTATCGGTATTATAAAATGTATTTTCAATTTTTTTTATTTTTAATTTTCTTAAATAACCTTGATTAATCTTAACCATTGATCAAGAAAATAGATGAGTGAGATTGGCTTACACGGTTTACATAAATGAAGACGGTTTTTATTTGATCGCTCCTATATATATATATATATATATATATATATATATATATATATATATATATATATATATATGGGCAGGTTCAAATGAAAACCATGCAATTCTAAGAAACCGTGTAAACTAATTTCGATCAATAGAAAAATTCTATTTTTTTAATTAAATTTAATCAATAAGGGTATTTCAGTCATTTTTCATATTTTTTTTTATAAATAAGGAAGTTATTAATAAATATTAAATAAGGAAATTTAATAATGAAAATTATATAAATGGTAACATTTAAATTTTTTATTATATTATAATATTAAAAACTTGATTTTAATTTTATGTTATTCAATGAATCTGAAAACGTGGTATGAAGATTCTAGCTTCTTATGAAATGAAATCTTGATTTGAGGTTGGAGGAAAAAAGTCATCCATGTTCATGAAACTGTTTCAATGTTAAAATGTTTCATTGTAAAATGGTTTATTTGCTTCTTCTAGGCATATTTTACATGTTAATGAAATAGGTTCATGATGGTGAAAATGCTGATGCTCTAATTAATTCATAATTCATGATCTAGTTTCATGGTGATCCATGTTGCTTTGTGATTGAAGTTGATCTGTTTAGTTGGTAAGATGAAAATAAAACGGGTACATAATGTATTTTGTTCTTTATGAAATAAATGTATGATGAAACGATTGTATATTATATTTTGTTCTTTATGAAATTAATGTTCATGAAACTGTTTCAATGTGAAAA